TATCTAAATTTAAAAAGAAAAGAAAAATGTGTGCATAAAAAATATTGATGAATGAATTAGTTTTATATTTTTAAATTTCAATATAAATAGTTAATTTTGAAATTGCATTTTCACAATTAAGTTAAATTTGGGACTTTTAAGAACAAGATCAAGACTTTTCACCTTTCATAGTTCTAAGTTAATGATGTAATTCATTTGTTTTGAACGAATGTTTGAATGTGAAATGTTATAATTAGAAAAGATAGAGTAAGAATATTTTGATTTAAAAAATGTATCAGTCTTATCATTAATTATTAACTTTAATCGTAATGTTTTAAAATGATTTATTACAGTTAGTTAATTTCATAACCTGTAACTATTTTGATAGCAACCTTTGATGTAAACTCCTAACCAATTAATCCCGAACCTGAATCTGTGATCATAAATAACACTTCAGGGGCAGCTTGCCACAAAGTTGAATTGCACGTAGCAGAGTCTTCAAAACACATGCCACTGTTTTACTTTTTCATCAATTCTTAGCACTACCTTTCAACTTTATCATAACTTCAAGCTCACATGGACAGAACACTACGTCATCCCTTTCCTTCTAATTTCTTGCAAATATTATAATATGTTTTCTAATGTTCTTGTAAATTACGATTCCTATGTATGAATGACTAAAGATTTTTTTTATTGGTAATTACATAAAGATTTCTAAAAAATAAATGTAATATTTTATTAAAAATTTTACTTTTTACTACAATAATTGATTTAATAAGAATAATATGACATTTTCTATAATTTTATATTTTAATTAGTGAAAGTTAGATTGTTCACATCTGCATGAGAATATTTATATACAAACAATAGTTGATAAAACCATTCCAAGAAATATGATTTTCAAGGGATATTATTTTTATAAAGTAAATGGGAAACGTATATAATGCATTTACTTGCAATTAAATCACAGTTTAATGGCAACAGATTTTTTTTCTTTTTCCTTCTCAAGTTACAATCTGAAATTGAAACTCAAAATTAAATTTAAACACATCTAAGTATATAATATTCTATGAAACTTATTATTCGTGAACTAAATTTAGTTTGCACTCAACAAACTAAAGTTTGAGTGTATATAAACTATAATATAAATTTTTCTTCCCCTTCATAGAATTATAGTGAAAAAAAAATGAAAAACTGAGACAAAAATACAAAATGGTTTTGTTCTGTTTGTATATAGGACATCACTCTCCATAGACAGTAGTGTGTATGTGAGAAAATCCACGTCAGCAGAATCTCCAATCCAACCTAACCTCAGGTGGGCCATCCACGTGTTGAGTGGGCTTTCTGAACGACACGACGTGGCTGCTAACCATGAACGCAGTCACGCGCTCGCTCACTCTTATGTCTTCCATTTTCATGTCTTGCAACCGCCGCACGTACTCCGGCACGTGCACAAGGTCCCACACCACCCCAACGCCACCCTCCTTCAACACCCTCACCACCTCCGCCATCGCCCTTCCCCTCTCCGCAGCAGCCACCTCCGCCCTGTGCCCCCTTCCCGCCGTGTGCAAAAACGTCCCGGACACCACAACGTGGAAGCTGCCGTCCAAGAACGGCAGTTTGGTCGGGTCGCCTGTGCGGCATGTCACATACTCCTCCACTCCCTCTACCTTAGCGGCCCGAAGCGTCGCCGCTAACCTGGCCTTATTCGGACCGCTGAATCCAATCACCCGACCCGAACCTCCTTCCTTTTTAAGGCGGGCGGCTAATGCATTCAGCAAAATGCCGCGTCCGCAGCAGCCAAGGTCAAGCGCTAAGCGCACCGTGGACCACTCGTCGACGGTGTCCACCATGCGCTGCGCCATCTCAGAATGAAGAGGCACTGCGGAGTAGAAAAAGTTCGCCGCTGCGTAGAAGAGGCAGAGGGCAGAGAGCGCCGTGACGGAGCCGGTGAACCCTGCCACGAAGCGGGCGGCGCCGCGGTGTACAGCGGCGATGGAGAGAAGGGTCTCAAAAAGGGTGGAGATTTGGTTGAAGTAGTGAAGGTAGAGTACTGAGAGAATCGAGAAGAGAACGGCTTGACAGAGAAGGAAGACGAAGGTTTGCCACTGATCCATTCCGTAGATGAGGTAGATCCGCGTCCATTCTTTGCTTGATGTTTTTCCCATTCTTTGATTCTGCAATTCACAGAAAATGCCTAGAAAATTAAATTGAAAATAAAATATCCTTAATTGACCCAAAAGAAGGAGACAGGAGTCTAGGAGTGTGTGGCTTACAGTTACAGTTTGGTAGTACAAAGTGGAAGGTTTGGATCTTCGAAGGTTTATTTGACGTTAATGGCGATGGTGCATCAAATAGTGTGATGTCATTTTGATTGAAACAAACAACAATTCCTCGTTTTCCGTTTTCAACGTGAGAGAGACAAGGAAGCGTGGAAATGAGGGAGAGAACTATAGAGAGAAAAACGTTTTTTTTTTTTTTTCTTTTAAGTAGACCATTGATTATATATATGGAAAAAACGATACGTGTACACATTTATTTGACGATATTTTGACATGGTGTCACTTACTTATTGATTCATTTTTTAATATTTTTGAATTTTTTGTGTGTTAACGAGGAAATGAAAATTTATATATCGAAGGTACGTGTGCTGTTTTGAAAGCTTCGACTTTCATTCTTCTTTCGCAAAGCTTAGGTCATGAAGATTGGTTACAAAAAATTCCTTCCAGCGACCAGTTGTATCTTAGTTGCGGGTAATTGTTAGGGTTACTTCCCAGGCGCGATTTGAGAGTGAAAAACTTGTTTTTTTATTGTTGTTCTGTTTGTTTTTGTTCGTTGATGTTTGGTTAACAGACTTCTTTGTTTGAGTTTTTTCTTTAAGTGTCAGTCTTTGCTCAAGTCAATAATTTGTAAATAGTAAAGTGAACCTGTGATACAATCTTTCTGAAAACTATTAAAACTCTAAGAAAAAAACTATTAAAAAACAACCATGAATATTGAAAGGATAAATTTCATAGTTTATATTCTACAAATATTAAGTAGACAACTTATATAAAATCTTAATATGATTTCTAGAATATATATGAATCTTATAGCATGTCAATAATATTTCGTTTACAGCAATCAATTATTATAAATATAAAGTCTATAGTTATTTGTTAAAACAAAGTGGTCCCATGGTCTAGTGGTTAGGACATTGGACTCTGAATCCAGTAACCCGAGTTCAAATCTCGGTGGGACCTTTCGTATTAATTTTTGCTTCAGCTGGAGGACAAAATTGCTTCACCCATTCACTCCCACACAACAACAGATTAGGAAGGCACCCACTCACAAGGTGTCCTTTCTTCCCTGCTTCAATGGCGTTCACTCTCTCTCCCTCCTTTAACCTTTCTCTAACTCGTAACCGAATCACCTGCTTCTCCAAGGAGCATCGCCGCCAAGTCATCGCAAAGGTGTTCCATCACAACCACGCGCATTACGCTGCAATGACACGTTTAGCATTTCTGTCACGATGGGGTTTTTACTGAACCTGTTTTGGGAATGGTGCAGGAAGCGGTAGGAGACGTGACGCGTGCCATGTCTGCGAGTGTTGTGGAGAGGATAATGAAACGGTTGAGGAGTGTGGTTCCAATGGTGATTGCGTCCGTTCAGATTAGCGCTTTGGTGCCGTTGATTGATTACGCGGCGTCAACCGGTGCTGCCGAAGCAGTTTTGTATTCGCCTGATACGAAGGTTCCGAGAACCGGGGAGGTTGCTCTCAGAAGAGCCATCCCTGCCAATGCTAATATGAAGTCTATACAGGTCTGCTTGGTTTGCAAGCGTGTTTGGTTGATGTTGTTGTCGTTTTTTTTTTGTAAAGGAAGCAGTAATAGCTTTATTTTATTTTCTTAAATTAATATGAAAACACCAAATTTTACATTTATTAACTAAGATGCTACTTATGTTTATCTTAATTTTCCATATAATATAAAAAATCACTACGTTTCTTAATAAACAATCCTTAACATTCCATATTTGAATGTATTTTTGGAATAAGAACATTAAAGGGGGTTATGTTAGTTGGAATTTACATATATTTTAATTCACCAAAAGGTAGTGACTTGTGTCCCTTATAATCCTGGTGTTGCCAAATTGTGTCGTTCAAGATATCTGAGAGATTAGTCATTACTACTTAAGCTATAGGTTAAAAAAAAAATTAGTTTACCAAACTGGACTAATTTTTTTAATTTATTAAAAGAATAAAAGAGTCGTTTGTTAATATAAGCAAGCATTTCATTAAGGGTAAAATGGGATAGATAGAGTTCAATGCTTACACACTGAAGATACTTATTGTGGAATTTTTTTTATATATTTAAATTCAGAGGAAATGTACGCGTTATTGTAATCTAGACATATTTCAGTAAGAGCAAAATTGGACCCCCAATTAATTTAAGAGTTCATTAGGAATGTACTTAAATAATAGTTATTATAAAAGCACACAAACTTAAGATATTTGACATATTGTAATATGATCACAATGTAATCACATTATCCCTGCTTGTTTTTTCCTGTTCTTTGTTACTTATCTATTAACAGTTTATTTGCTTATGTAAGCTTAATAGAATAACATAACAAAATACATATTTTGATAGAGCTCACCGTCAACCTTGAAGTAAGTTTAGAAGAGCTGTTGGAAAGTTAATATAAATGGATGCAATCTATACATGGACAGTAGACCTCGAAGCTATACTGACTGAAGCAGAACATGCACAATGGCAAGATACAATGTTACAAGATATTGCAGTCTTAGAAGCTGTAAGTACACTTGGAAGATCGAGAGCCTAGCGGCAATGGGTGTACAGGATAGAAGTACAATTCTTTTTTAATGGTCGAGCGCTGTACGTCCAAGCTTTGTTGCAAACGGGTTCACTTATGTTGAAGTTTTGGGGTCCCTTGCTGAATAATTGCTATTTTCATATCTGAAAGGCAAAATCTTCATTGGGTTGTTAGTATATGTGGATTACATCTTACTAGCAGAAAATGGTTTAGAGGCTTGTTTGGAATTCAAGAGTTATTTGGAAAAATATTTTCATATCAAGGATTTGGCGGTGCTCAAGTATTTCTGAGGAATATAGAGGTAACAAGGTAACAACAGTGAAACTTTGCGCAAAAAAAAAATGCATTGAACATAATATCACCATGTGCACGTAGACCTGCTGAGTCTTCCATTAAAGAGGGACAAAAATTGGGGCTAGCAGGACATTGGGAAATGAAGTATTACTCAGTTTATCAACATCTAGTTGGCAGAGTATTTACATGATGATTACTGACCCCGAGTTGTTTTATTTCGCTGCATGTGTTGTCCTACTTTGCACAAGCACATCAAAAAGACCACTTAAAGATTGCAATGCTGGTAGTGCCTTACCTCAAAGTCAACCCTTGAGAAGAGATATTACCGACCAACAATGATTTGAGATAGTACATCTATTACGGGCACACTGAGATCAGTGATGGATACTTTGTCAATTTTGGGAATCACCTGTGTATTGGAAGACGAAAACTTAGGGCACTATATCCTATTTTTTTAAGAAAAGCAGAGAATCATGATTGAAGCAGCCAGTAGTGAGCTAATTTGCCTGAAGTCAAACCATCCTTGGGGACAGGTCTCAAATGACCTATGATGAGGTTGTATTGTGATATCAGTATTCTATAATCATAGCAGAAAATCATGTTTTCCATATCGAGATAAATTGTTACTGTGCAAGGGAGCAATGCCAGGTTGGAAATATTGTGATGATGACATATGCCATCAGTTCTAGTTCCACCAGATAGACATATTCAACCAGGCTCTCACTTAATAATTTCAATTTCCACTGGTCATTTTGGGCATTTGTTGATCCTCATGCACCGACTTCAGAGAGTGGAGGAGGAGGAGTACTGAAAGTAGATAGATGTTGTAATTAGTTATAGATGATACTGACAGATATTGGAATTTGGAAAGTAAATATTTTGCTGTATAATTTATTATAGTTTTCTAGAGATGATTTTGGGAAATGATACGTTTTCATTTGGTTGATTAGAATGTTACATTGATTAGTAATTTTTATATAAGGCAGGAGCTGCCCATTTGTAGATCTCTTCCAAATAATATATCCATTCTGACTGTGAAATAGGAGAATTGTGTTTTAGATTTTTTTTTGCTCTTTGAACCTTTTAATGATCAGAATTATGTTCTTTTAATGTATTTTTCAGGACACTCTTGAAGATATTACGTACCTTTTGAGGATTCCACAGAGAAAACCTTATGGAACAATGGAGGGGAATGTGAAGAAAGCTTTGAAGGTATTCAATAATTTATTTTGTTTCCTGTTTCTTTCATCGTTTGTTCTTAGCTGTATTTGTTTGAGAAATAAAATATTGATTATTAGGTTATGTAATGATGTTGCATCCATGAAATATTTGCCTTTCATTCTATGGATTGACAAATAGGTCAATGTTTTGAATTTCGTACATGACAACATGTATGAGCTTTAGACCTATCAATTTGGGCCAACCAACCGGGCTTGGCCTTGACTTATGTGGACTAGGGCCAAAATGGTCCTTAGGACCAAAACCCCACATAAGACCAAAAAATACCTAAAGGACCAATATGCCCACTACAAGTTTTATGGTTCAAGGTGAATCTATGGACCATCTTTTGAATTACAAAATCTTATTTATTATGAAAATGAAGAAAAACAATTACTTAAATATCTTTATAGACAAGAAAAACATTTACTCAATGTAAATCCAAATTTAAGTCGCCAAGGGTAGGCTCCATTAAGGCTTAAATCAAGTTAGGCTAGGCCAAGACCATATAAAGTTGGGCCTAGGTTAGGTTGAGTTGGGTCGGGTCTGGGTTAGGTAGAGGTGAGTCATGTCTAACTCAAGCTAAGTTAGGCCAAGTCCAAGTTGTGTTGACTCAGGTTGGACCTGGGTTAGGGTGAGTTTGGTTCGGCCCAAGATATGCTGAGTCTAGGTAGGCCTGAGTCTAGTTCAAACCAAGTTTGGTCAGGTTAAGATGGGCTCGACTTCGGTTTGATGTCAGGCCAACTCGTGTGTGGCCGAGGTCAAAATAGGCTGGGTCAGGACCATGTTAAGTTTGTCTAGCTCGGTCTAGGTTAGGCCAATTCAAGTTGGGTCTAGGTTTGGCTGAGTTAGGTTGGGTCTAGGTCAGGCAGAGTTGAGAGTCCATGTCGTGTTGAGTCAAGTCAGGCCAAGTTGAGTTGGACCTATGTTTGTTTGGGTCCAAATCGAGCCATGTTGGATTGGGCTAAGACGAGCCATGTTGGATTGGGCTAATGCGAGCTCATTTGAGATTGAACCCATGTCGAGCAATGTCAGGTTGGATCTAGATCACACAAAGTCAGGTTAGACTGATGTCTAGCCAAGTTGGGTATGGTCGAGGTTAAAATAGGCTGGGTCAAGACCATGCTAAGTTTGTCTGGCCAGGTCTAGGTTAGGCCAATTTAGGTTGGGTCTAGGTTAGGCTGAGTTAGGTTGGGTCTAGGTCAGGCAAAGTTGGGACATGTCTTGTTGAGTTGAGTCAGGCCAAGTTGAGTTAGACCTAGGTTTGTTTGGGTCCAAATCGAGCCATGATAGGTTGGGCTAAGACGAGCTCATTTGAGATTGAACCCATGTCGAGCAATGTCTGGTTGGATCTAGATCAGGTCGGGCCCATGTTAGACTAATTTAGGTTAGTTCAATGTTAGATAGGGCCCTAATCCAGAAAGATTAGGTTATGTTGGGTTTACATCATGTAAGATTTGGTCAGGCCCAACCTAAGTTAGGTTGGGTCCAAATTAGGCTTGGTTGGTTTGGAATAGGTCAGGTTCAACTTTGGTGGGTAGAGTCCGAGTCAAGATGGGATTGAACTGGGTTGAGCCCTGGTCAATTTGGGTTGGGCCTAGTAAGCCTGTGTTTGGTTGGGTCAAGCATAGCCTAATGCAGGATGAGCTAGACTACTTGAGCTCAAGTTAAGCTTGGTTGAGTCGAACCAAGCTCAAGTTAGGCTTGGTTGTGTTGGTCCAAGGTTAAGTTGGGTCCAAGTTAGGAAAGGTATGTAAGGTCAGGCAAGCTGAGTCGAGCTCAACTCAAGTTGTGTCGATTTGAGCTTGGGTAGGTTGGGTCTGGGCCCAAACCTTGGAATGTTGCAAATAAAAAAAATTAATGATCAATTTGCAATTAATGTAAAATATTTAGATGTAATTTAGAATATTGTAAAGATTCATGCAATCCTGGAAAGTATTTAAGAATTAATTGAAGTCTTATTTTAATTTTGTAGTAACCTACTTTGGTTTTGACAAACCTTGCTATATCTTTTTTGTTGATTAAAAAATTGAGGCATATAACTAAGAAACTACTCTAGAACTTATTTTTCCTTTAGAGTACTGTAGTATTTGTTGCACCTTAGTAATATCTTCTTACATCTTTAACATCGTGTTTGGTCTGTTGATATGGACTTGTTGTACTGTTCATTTGAGGACATTTAATTCTTGTAATTTTCTTCTTTATATCAGTTAGCAGTTGATGAAAAGGATTCTATATTGGCCAGTATACCAGCAGAACTGAAGATAAAGGGCTCTTTGGTACATGCATCCCTGATAGAGGGAAAGGTTTGCTCAAAAACTGTATCTTCTGGAATATATGAACTTTAGTTTGTATATCCTGATATAATTATTGTCATAATACATGCTGGCAGTCATGATCTAACTCCCTCCTCTATTTGGAAAAAAGAGTAGTCATTTGCATTTCATTTCAATTGATTATTTGTATGAAGATCTCAGTTAATATATCTGAGGTTATACTTATGATTATAGTTCTTACATTGCAAAATGAATACATTTTTCTATTGTCAATGTTTCTGATATGAAACTAATATACCGGGTACCTGTTTCCAAAGGAATACTTAATGCAAGAAAAGAAGTTTCAAATGTAGAAACCAGAATATGGATTTTGGCATGTTTTGCTTATATTCTGATCTTTATGTTCTGTCTTCTGTAGGATGGAATATACTAGAATATCTTAAAAGTTATAATTGACGAATTATGGAAATTGGTAGTAATGGTTCATTATAGAAGTCACATCAGTGATGTCAATATTTTGCAGGGGGGCTTGCAAACTCTTCTTCAGTCTATAAAGGAACAGGATGCAGATAAAGTATCTGTGAACCTTGCATCTACACTGGACACTGTAGCAGAGCTAGAGTTGTTACAGGTAGCTGTAAACTAGATAATATGATAGAATCTTGAAATGAATGTAGTTATTTTCAATTCTCCAAAAAGTCTTGAATGAATCTATCCAACAAAAATATTATAATCATATCCAGAATCTGAACTTAATTTTGTTGCAACAGGCGCCAGGATTATCTTTTTTGTTGCCCGAGCAATATGCACAACAATATCCACGGTCAGTGACTCAAATTAAAAGTCATGTCAATCTCTACCTTGATGTAATTACATAGATCCGTGTAATGGATATTTGAGTTTTCTAAATGTTGGACATACCGTGGCCATTTGACATGAGTCTAACATAATAAAAGATATTCACTGAAATTATTCATAGCTCAATTCCTTAGGAAAAGTAAACACTCAGAACATTGGGGAAAATCAATATATTCCCATTGCTTTTAGGCTTTCTGGGAGAGGAACTGTCGAGTTCACCATTGAGAAAGGAGATGGTTCAACATTTTCCCCAGTTGGTGGAGAGCAGAAAAATACAGCCACTATTCAGGTATAATTAACCCCGTAAGTTTTCCTTTGTAATTTGCCATTGGTTATTGATTTGGTGGGTTCACGTCTCTTAAGGATCCATAAGCATTGAGAGCAGGTTAAATTTAAAGACTAAATAAAAATTGATGGAGCGTGAATAAAACAAACTGTTAATAAGTTATACTATTAAAGATTAACTATTAGACCTTTGTTTTCAGGTTGTTATTGACGGATACTCTGCTCCATTAACTGCAGGAAATTTTGCAAAACTGGTAAGGTAGTGGAACGTTACTTCAGACTTGTGAATTTTCCATATGGTTATTCTTTGCCAATGGCCATCCTTGATTTTAATTCCTTCTGAGGGTTCAATCACTTTCGTTCAGATTTCCTAAGTTTTTTGAGTGAACCAAAGCACCATTTGAATGGTTAATCTCAGTTACTAAGTCCTATTTGCTTGAACTTCTCATACTATTACTATCGCAGGAAATAATTAGGTCAATTAGTATTCTTGTGAAAAACTAAGTTCTTTGAGAACTTTATTTTTGCCTCTTGGTTTGATAGTTTGAAAAGAGAAGAAAGATTCGCTTCCGAAAACTTAAACATCTGTTGAGGCTGTAATGCATTCGGCAATGGATCCATCACTAAACTGAGAAAGTTGTTTAGGATGTCAAAGAGTCAGCAATTAAAACAGCCTGAGAACTTTGGTAATAGCCTAATAGACAACTCTGCCTTTGAACAAACGTGTTGAAACTACTAAAGGGAAAAGAAAACTAAGAACTTCAAGGGTTTCAGCTGCGGAAGAATGCAAATGTTATTGAATTTCTCATGGACTGAACTGGTTGATATATTGGAATATTTCCATTCTTAGAATAGTTAGTTTCAATTGTACATGTCCATGAGAACTTGTATTATGCAGTTTAATTCCTGTTTTTAAGTGTTGGTTCTTTAAACATCAAGATTTTTAGATTGTCTGACCTAGTGGAAACAACCCTCACACACTCCCACCCTCCAGGTGATGGATGGAGCCTATAATGGCGCAAAACTCAACTCTATCAACCAAGCTATTCTCTCAGATAATGGAGGTGATAAAAACAGTGGTTACAGTGTTCCCTTGGAAATAATGCCCTCTGGACAATTTGAGCCCCTTTACAAAACAACATTAAGTGTGCAGGTATGTTTATAAAAAATTGGCAGCAGGCATTACCAGAATTTATGATACTGTTCTCATATATGTTTTGTGTTGAGGAAGGATGGAGAACTGCCAGTTCTTCCTCTATCTGTTTATGGGGCAGTTGCTATGGCTCATAACGAAGCCTCTGAAGAATATTCATCACCTTACCAGTTCTTCTTCTATCTCTACGATAAACGAAGTGTAAGTGCAATTTATCACTTATCTCCGTCGCATTTTTATCTGCTCACAGGATTTGCCTGTATTTCGCTAAACAAAATGAGTGAAACATGGAAGCAGAACTTTTCATTCTTGGGAGTAACTTCCTCTTGCATGTTGATTAAGCCATTCATTTTTCCTCCTATTGATGTAACCTCTAGTGGTATTCGTTTCCTCTTTTGTAGGCTGGTTTGGGAGGAATATCATTTGATGAAGGACAATTTTCAGTTTTTGGGTATGTTATCTTAGCCTGTCACTTAATCAATTTTGAATTTCAACTTTTTCTCCAATGTTTTTTATGACGTTAAACCATGCAGATACACAACCACCGGGAGAGATATTCTTCCCCAGATAAAAACTGGTGATATTATTCGTTCTGCAAAACTAATTGAAGGCCAAGACCGTCTTGTATTACCGAAGGAAAGTTGAGTATATTTGGCGGCGGTGTTACCCAAGTAGGAAAAATATTCATTCTTTTTTAATATGTGGATGGCATATGGCATCAGCCTGATTTTCTTGGTGTAGGTTGGGTTCTAAATTATGTAGAAAATGAGTTGAAATTTCTATTTAATAAAAATCCCATGGAACAGTGAAATACATTCTCCAGAAAAGGAATCCCTTTCGGTTAACTATTATCCTTTAGTTTCTTGTAAAGGAGCATATCATCTATGGTTCTATATCGACCTCTTACTAAAAGAATTATATATTATGTGTGCAGTCCAGTCGGTTTAATGGATCTGCTCAACATTTAATAACTATTAGGAATTTTAGGCATAGAATAACGATCTAAATTCTAATATACTTGAACATGTTTGAAAAACTTTTATAGAGACAAATATTATTTAGTATCTAATGTGTATTAGATATATTATCTTTATATTTTACCTTTAGTTAATTTATTTGTAATTATTTATGATATGTATTTTGAACTTAGTATATATATTTTTATTATAAATAGAGTATTTATGTATATATTCAACACAATAAAAATTAAACAAGTGTTTACATACTCGTATATTCCAAATTGTAATATATATCAAACAAGTATTCAGAGCATATAAACATCTAAAGTTTAGCATTATGCTCAGGACACACATTAAACAAGCATGGACATTACTGATCCTTCAAAAACATTGTTAATAATCTAATTCAATAGCAGATTCACCCACATAATGTTGTTTAACCTACATTCTATTATTTCATTCCTAAAACAGAGCATATATCATCAACTTCCTTTTTCAAATCATTATATAGTACTAACCATAATCCAAACAAAATTAATAACACCTATACACATATATTCATCTGAGTAATTCCATTTATACAATCATTCAATTATTATCAATTATGCTATGAATCACAAAATCAAGAATATCACTTACAACCACAGAACAACACAATCAAAATGAGTCATAATGTATAAACAACAAATATGTAATCTAAAATGACCAACTGACTTATCATATTTTGTTCTAAGCGGGCATACTCCTTACGTGAGCCCCTATAAGGGTAATTGGAGCTTGATGCTGGTGTTTGATGTTCTTTCCTTATTTTGTATGTTTTTTTATTAAAAAGAAAGATAATAAACAAATCATATGCACAAGAATTAAAGGATAAATATTATTGTATTTAGATAGTGTACATTAGCTTGAAACTTTTATCCATACGTTTTGCAATAAACTATCTCCAAATATCCTCACTAATCATGGATGCATACTTTGCAGGAGGTTGATTAGGAAGATTCTCTAAATAATCTCCATTGTCATCCATTAGATATTTATGGGTCAAGGAAGTTCTAAAACTCCTAAGCAATAACCCTGCCTCCCTTAATACATACGTATTGCGACATGTATCTACATTGAAAGTTAGTTGTCCAAAATAAAATTAGTAAAAAAAAGTTTAGAAATCATAACACATACTTTAAAATAAGTAGATTTAAGTAGTAAACATTACTTGTATATCATTCCAAATGATCTCTTTATAGGCATCCAAACTTGAATCTTTCCAATTATCACAAGTTATAGGCACATTTGATCGAACAATGGATCCAAGATAACTGGTGAAGTTTGTGCCACCGGGTTCAATGGGTTGACCTTTTGCAATGTGTTGACCTTTTGCATTCCATGAAACCTAATAATATGAATAAGTACATATTGAACAATAATTAGGAAAGTAACATATCTAATATACCAAAAAATAAAATATGTACATTACCTCTAATTTTTTCCCTTCACTTCTGGCTCAAATGATCTTCTTCATAATGACTATACCTTTCTTCCCTTTAGTTTTGTTGGGAGAAAGGACACTATGTTTCTGAGTGTCGAAACAAAAGGTCAACTTATATCCTTGAACATAAGAGTGATAGTGAGTGTTCATCTTATACTTGGTCTAATGCATCCACTTCCGAGGAAGAAGAAGCTTTACCTTGTGAGGGAGATTTACTCATGGTTAGGAGACTTCTAGAGAGTCAACATGCTGAACTTGAACAATCACAAAGAGAAAAACTATTCCACACAAGATGCAAAGGTTTAGAAAAGACTTGTTCAATGATTGTGGATCGTGGCTCTTGATGTAATTGTTGCAGCTTAAGGATGGTAGAAAAACTAGGCCTAACTGCTACACCTCATCCAAACCTTACAAATTTCAACGGATCAAAGAGGATGAAGGTATAATAGTAAAAGAACAAGTGAGTGTACCCATTTCCATTGGTAATTATGATGATGAAATTTTTTGTGACGTAGTACCAATGGAAACTTGACACATATTACTTGGCACACCTTGGCAATTTGATAAGAAGGCTCTCCATGATGGTGTCGCTAACAAAATAACCATCCAACACAAGGGAAAGAAAATTGTTTTGTGTCCTCTTACACCTCAACAAGTGAGAGAGGACCATATAATTTTAAAAAAGAAGTTGGATGGAGAAAAAAAAGGATAGAAAAGTGAAAAAATAGAAAACTATGAGTTTGGTGGGTAATGCCTCAACCAAAGAAGTTGTTCAACCACAAGCCTTGAACAATTCTAAAAACCTTTTGCTTGGACAACCTCATTTCCTTCTCTATTTCAAAGAGGCACTCGTTTATGTAAATTATAAACTTGGTTCTCTACCCAAAGGGTTGCAAAAACTATTAAAGGAATTTGATGATTTATTTCCTAAAGAGGTGTTAAGTGGTTTTCCACCTTTGAAGGGAATAGAACATCAAATTAATTTAATGCTTGGGAAAGTCTTCCAATAAGCCAACCTATATGATCAACCCCAATGAAACAAAAGAGATAGAGAGGAAAGTTAATGATTTATTGAATAAAGGATGGATACAAAAGAGCCTAAGTCCCTATAAAAATGCTCCAAAATTCTGGTTGGTTGGTCCAATAGTCCAAGGTCCTATTTGAATAGTCCTATTGCTTTGAATCCTCAAAATAAGAAAGAAGAATTATAATTAATCTTCCATAGAAGCAGTGTTCTTTGTAATCCTTCTTCCTCTTGAATTCTTTTGGACAAAGCTCTTGTTAAAGGTCCTATATGAGTCCTAGATGCCTGATGGCCCTCTATTAGTCCTCCCTCTTGAAAAAGGATATGTATTCAAATCTTCTTCATCTTATTGATCATCTCCTGCAAAAAGGAATAGTTGCAGGGGGGTCGCTATACGTTAAAAGTAGGACTGACACCATAATCATCAGGAAGGTCTAACCTATATGCTTTGTCATTTATTTTCTTGACCACCTTGAAAGGACCATCTCATCTTGGCCTAAGTTTGGGACTTTCTATGAGATGGAAACCTTTCCTTTCTCAAGTGAATTCAAACTAAGTCTCCTTCTTTAAACACTATTTTTTTTCCCCTTGGTTGTATTCAGAATATTTTTGAGTTTGCTTTTCAATTTGGTTTTTAACCTTTTCATGCAAACTTCTTGATAAAATCGACTTTAGATACACCTTTCTTATATGTAAAAGAAGATTGAATCTGGAAGAGGTAGTAAATCAAGAGGTGTCATAGAATTAAAAAAACCAATAAACAACCCCGAAAGGAGAAAGGTTTAAGTCTGGGACTACTCTATTATAGAAAATTCGATGTAAAGAAGATGATCATCCCAATTCTTTTTATTTCCTCTAAGTATTACTCGTAATAAAGTAGATAGAGACCTATTTACCACCTCAGTTTGCCTATTAATTTGAGGGTGAAATGTGGTAGAAAACATTAGTTTAGTTCCTAGCTTTTCCTATAGAGTTTTCCAAAAATGGGTAAGGAACTTAACACCTTTATCAAACACTATAGTTTTGGGTAAGCCATGAAATCTAACTATCTCTTTAAAGAAGAGTCTTGAAATGTAGCTAGCATCATCTACTTTGTGGCAAGGTACCATTTTACTAAAACAATCCATCACCACAAATATAGAATCATACCCCTTTTAAGTCCTTGGTAATCTGGCAAAATCCACACTTATGTCCTTCCATGAGGTACCAGCTATTGGAATAAGTGTATAGAGTCCATGAGGCATTACTTTTGACTTAGCTTGTAACAAGCTAGGCATATAGAATAATGCCTTTGAACTTCTATTCTCATGTGTGGGGTCAATAAAATTTTGTTTTCAAAATATTAAGAATTTTATCAACTCCATGATGGCCCATGAGTCCTCCTCCATGACTATCTTTTATAAGAAGCTTTCTAATGGATCATTGAGGTATACAAAGTCTTTATTAAAAAGATAACCATTAAAAAGATAGAATTATCAAAAACAAAGATTTTTTAGACGATGATGCATAAGTGGATGCAAATGTTTCATCATTTTCAATATAAGCTCCTTTTATATCATCAAATCCAAAATTTGAGGACCCTAGGGTTACTAATAAATGCATGTCTCTCTAGATAAACCTCTACAACAACATTAGTATTTCTCTTCTTGTGTTTGATGACATATGGAAATTGCTCTAGGTACTCCACCCACTTTGTATGCCTTTTATTCAATTTCTCCTTACCCTTTTCAAATACTGACAGACTCATGGGTCAATATGTATGATAAATTCCCGAGTCACCAAGTAATGCTCCCAAGTTTTTATAGCTCAAATAAGGATATATAATTTTTTGTCATAGGTAGGGTAGTTCAAAGTAGGTCCTATAAATTTTTCACAAAAGTAGGTTACTAGATTATCTCCTTCAATTAACACAGCTTATATCCCTACCTTAGATGCATCATATTCTAGTTCAAAAGCTTTGGAAAAATTACGTAGAACTAGAATAGATGCATGAGTTAATTTATTTTTCAAGGTCTCAAAAGACAAGGCTTGTTTTTCACCCCATACAAAAGGTACATCTTTCTTTACAAGCTCATTTAAAGGAACAACAATGGTGGAGAAGTTCTTTACAAATCTTCTATAGAAAACTAGCCCCAACACCATGAAACAACTCCTCACTTCTCCTATTGTCTTAGGGGTTGGCCACTCTTGTATTGCCTTGATCTTCTTAGGACCAACATGTACACCCTCTTTTCCAACTTTGAATCCAAGGAAGATGACATTTTCTTGACAAAAGGTGCATTTGTCAAAGTTGGCAAAAAGATTATTCTATCTAAGAAGAAGCAAGACTTGCATAATGTGGCTCAGAGCTCTTGAAGACCTTTATTATAAATTATTATATCATCAAAGTCAGACTACTACAAACCTACCTATGCATTCCTTAAAGACATGGTTCATCAACCTCATAAAGGTTCTAGAAACATT